TGATGCTGCTACCCTTTTTTAATCATAGACTTTGCTACTCCTGCTTTTCCCCTTTTTCCGTATCTGATACTAATGATCAAATCTCATTCTCTGCTGTTATTGTTTGCTATCCGGTGTCGGAGGATGGGTTCCCCTTTTGAGTCTTGGCTTCTCTCAAGGTTTCTTCCTCTTGCTCTTAGGGAGTTTTTCCTGCCACTGTCGCCACTGGTGACGCTCATGGGGGCTCGGACCTGGATTATTCTGTAGAGCTGCTTTGTGACAACGACTGTTGTGAAAAGCGCTATATAAATAAACTTTGATAACTTTGAAATAATGGTGTATTTCACATGAACAAACTTGGAATAACTTTACATTTTAACATCAGAATTATGCAGAAATTTTGAAAACTTGCTGAAATTCCCCTTTCACTTCAACAATTCTGTGACAGGCCTGCAGCCTTTGTTCTAGTAAATAGATGTTGGCTAGAAGAATAGAAAAAAATAATATGTGGGCTTTGTTTTTGAGTTCAATATAGAAAATGTATCATATAATGGTGCAAAAAATATTATATACGGTACAAAAGTCAGAGACCATTTACTTAAGCTCCAGTCAAAGCAGCCATTAAGTACATGTTATTGATATTTCAGGAGATGTTTCTGAGGAGATTAGATATAAGATAATCCACTTGCATAAAGAAGGAGAAAGTCAAAGGACAATAAATGAAGTTCCCAAAACTGAGTTAAAAAAACAATGAAAAGCTTTAGAGAATAAATGGGACTCCTAACAACCACCTGGAAGACCTGGTAGACACCAAAACTGCCCCCATCAGATAAACAGCACTTAAAGCTTTCATCTCTGAGAGAGAGGAGAAAATCAAGCTGCTTCAGATCTGAAAACATCCACATCCATCCTTCCACTGTGAGAAGACGACTCAGCGCTGTGGGTCTGAAAGGATGTGTAGCTGTCAAGAAGAACCTCACTGAGAAAAGGAGACGGACACATCAAACAAAGAAGCTGAACAATGGACTGACCACCCCAGAGTCCAGACCTCAACACCACTGACTGTGTTTGATTACTTCAGAAAATGATCAACCAGCTTCTAAGACTGAACTTTGGAGGTGTGGAAAAAAATCCCGGCAGATTCCTCTGAGTTATGTTTAGCCGTTGAGGCTTCAGTGTGATTTTCTGTTAGATGTGTTTCCTGCTTCTTTCTTAAAGCTGAAAAATCAGTAACTTGTACTTAACCGGTCAAATAAAAGAAGGGTGCACTCTGACCTTTTCACAGTGCTGTACTGCATCGTGACATTACTGTATTAGTGTAACTCCCACAGTGCAGTTCTGTGAATGGTTTTCTCCACTGTATTATGTTCAGTTCCTCTGAGCTGATGCCGGTGTGAGATATTTTACCTTTGACTGTTCTGATTTCTGGATAAAAGTAAACACCTCATAGTCCCTGGAGATTTCCTTAGCCCTGCACACCCTATCCGCTCGAGGTAGGGGGGGGAGAGGAGGTTAGGGAGGGAAGAGGCTGTGTCAGGCCTGGGTCAGGTGGGGCGAGTCGCGGCCCGCCACGCGAGGAGATGAAAGGAAGCCAGTGCTCCATTGTTTCGTGAGGAATGTCAGCGCTCTGCACTCACTCAGGCCCGCAGGCTGCTTTGCTGGGAGCGCCGAGGCCACGGTTCATTCGGAGGGAATTCCTCAGCAGGCTTCCACCAGGCTTGGCTGGGAGGAAAGCCGCAGCCTCCAGCTCACGTGGCTCCCTCCTCTCCCTCCCTCTCTCCCTCCCTCCCTCCCTTCCGCCCTCTTTCCAAACTCTGCAATGCAAGTCTGTTTGCTGCTGGGTGAGTTGGCCTTAGATTCAACTTAAAATAGCTTAAATGACTCCCTCTAGTGCAGGAGCGTCGGCGAGAAGGTGCAGCTGCTGTCCCTTAGGTTATACACTCTTGCAGTATTTATTTATTTATTTGTTTGTTTGTTTATTTAGCTAGATGGAGCTATGGTAAATATCTTGTTTCTTGGGTTATAGATTTTTGCAGTATTATTTATTTGTTTGTTTTTTATTTATTTAGCTAGATAGAGCTATGGTAAATCTCGTTATAAATCTTGGGTTATAGATTCTTGTAGTATTGTTTGTTTGTTTGTTTGTTTAGCTAGATGGATCTATGATAAATCACTTGTCTCTTGGATTATAGGTTCTTGCAGTGTTTGTTTGTTTGTCTGTTTAGCTAGATGGAGCTATGGTAAATCTCTTGTCTCGAGTTATAGATTCTTGCAGTATTTATTTGTTTATTTGTTTGTTTGTTTGTGAAGCTAGATGTAGCTATGGTAAATCGCGTATCTCTTGGGTTATAGATTCTTGCAGTGTTTGTTTGTTTGTTCAGCTAGATGGAGCTATGGTAAATCTCTTATCTCGAGTTATAGATTCTTGCAGTATTTATTTGTTTATTTATTTGTTTGTTTGTTTGTGAAGCTAGATGGAGCTATGGTAAATCTCTTCTCTCAAGTTATAGATTCTTGCAGTATTTATTTGTTTATTTATTTGTTTGTTTGTTTGTGAAGCTAGATGGAGCTATGGTAAACCTCTTGTCTCTTGGGTTATAGATTCTTGCTGTGTTTGTTTGTTTGCTTGTTTGTTTAGCTAGGCGGAGCTATGGTAAATCGCGTATCTCTTGGGTTATAGATTCTTGCAGTGTTTGTTTGTTTGTTTGTTTAGCTAGATGGAGCTATGGTAAATCTCTTGTCTCGAGTTATAGATTCTTGTGGTATTTATTTAGTTGTTTATTTATTTATTTATTTAGCTAACTAGATGGAGCTATGGGAAATCTCTTCTCTCTAGGGTTATAGATGTTTGCAGTGTTGTTTGTTTGTTTAACTATATAAAGGTTTCTTGTCTCTTTGGTTATAATTTCTTGCAGTTACTTCTATCTATCTATCTATCTATCTATCTATCTATCTATCTATCTATCTATCTGAACTAGATGAAGCTATATTAAATTTCTTCTCACTTATGTTATAGATTCTAGATTTTGTATTTATTTTATTTATCTATGTATTTATTTATGTATTCAATTAAATGGGAAGCTATGGTAAATCTCTTGTCTCTTAGGTTATAGATTCTAGAACTAGAATCTAGGGTGTGTAGTTTCACAGAGTGAACTCTTCACCTGTAACAGCAGATTGTATGAAGTACACAGAATTTAAAAAGCTGTAGGAAACGATATCGGCCGGTATCCTGAAGTATCGGTTCAAAAATCGGAAGACAAAAAGTCAGATCAGTGCGTCTCCAGCATTCAGTGTGTTTTCCAGCATTGCACTCAACAAAAACCTGCACGGGGTCCTGTGTGTTCAGCTGGAGGGGCTGTTGTTTTGTTTCGTGAACACTCTGAAATCTTTCAGTGTTGAAAAGTTCATCATTCTGTAACTCGTCTCATTGTGAACGAGGAAAAACATAACAAGCGCTTGCGGATATCAGATGGCCGAAGGTGCTCATGTGCAATCCAAGGAATGCTGCAGGCGCTGACCCTCACTGTCCATCGTAATGGGACAGGAATGTGCTGTTTCGAATCAGATATGCTGTAATGGAGTGTCGGACAGACACGTCGGCTAACTGACCATTTAACATCATTCCTACAGCCTTTATCCAGCGGTCTTCTGATAGCCACACACAGCACTTAAAACAAGAACAGAAAACTGTCACTGTGCTCTCCCTGTGGGACTCGGCTAGGAAGACCCTGCTAACACGCTAAACCGCTAACTCCAAGAAGTGGCCTCATCCGGTCCTCCTTTCTGTCAGCACGTCTAGGAAAACCTGCTCTGTTTGTTTAGCCCAAAAGCCGAGTGCTGTCACTTCCCTCGGCCCAGCCAAAGAACACAGTGATAGAGCGAGCGAGGCAGAGAGAGTGTGGGAACACTGGGAGAGAGAGAGCCGGCAGGAAGACAGTGGTACACCAGAGCACTGAGATCCAGAGGGCGTGTGACAGCATCCTCTCTCTCTCTCTCTCTCTCTGTCTCTCTCTGTCTCTATCTCTCTCTCTGTCTCTCTCTCTCTCTCTCTCTCTCCCTCTCTCTGTCTCTCTCTCTCTCTCTCACACACACTTTCTTACTCTCTCTCTTTCTTTCTCTTTCTCTCTCTCCCTCTCTCTCTCACACTCTCTCTCTCTCTCTCTCTCCCTCTCTCTCTCACACTCTCTCTCTCTCTCTCTCTCTCCCTCTCTCTGTCTCTCTCTCTCTCTCTCTCTCTTACTTTCTCACTCTCTCTTTCTTTCTTTCTCTCTCTCTCCCTCTCTCTCTCTCACACTCTCTCTTTCTCTCTCCCTCTCTTTCTCACTTTCTGCCCCTCTCTCTCTCTCTCTCTCTCTGTCTCTCTCTCTTTTTCCTGCTTTCTCTATCTCTGTCTCTCTTTTTCCTGCTCTCTCTATCTCTGTCTCTCTCTCTGTCTCTCTCTCTCTCTCTCTCTCTCTCTCTCTCTCTCTCTCTCTCTCTCTCTCTCTGGACACTAGAATGTCTTTTAAGTGTTTTATTTAATATTTTTCAAGTGTTTCAGCATTGATGCTGATCCGGGGGGGAATTTTGGAGGTTGTAGGATGGTTGTTGTGAAAAACACACAGCTGAGTTGAGACCTGTTAGATATGAATTATTATACAGCTGTCAATTACAGCTTAAAATGCTAATTAAAGCCAAAATGCAGTGGTGTGCAAAAGTCTGGGCACCCCGGTCACATGACATTTTGTTGATTTTCTAAGTAAAAATAAGTTAAAACATCCTCTACAGAAAACTGTGATAATAAAAATTAAAAAATACGTAAAATCATAAAAAGTTTTGGCACATTGGATATTGTATGTTTTTTCACAGTATGTTAAATTCAGAAAATAGAAAAAGTGCCACATTTGTCCCTGTAGAGGATGCGTTCACTTATTTTCACTCAGCAAAATACATAATTTGACCAAGAACGATCAAACTTGCGTATGACTGTGTTCATGCATCACATGAGTGACCCTGTATCCTCTCATTGTCTTTTACAGTCAATGAAATCATAAGGAACGACCTCTCCAGCATCTCCGTCCACAGCCACGCATAGCAGCGGACGAGCGAGGGAAATGGACGCCACCGAAGAAATGGACTTTTGAAGCTTTTATAGCCGAACAAAACATCTACATAGCCTGACTGCAGCATAACTATCTGTACAGCGGAGTGAGTTACAGAGCTGTCGCAAAGCAATCACAACTGACCGACTGAATGACAATCAACACCAAATAGCAAAATACTGCCAATGTGTATGAATTCATGGACCAAGCCCGTGCATTGTTTTCCCATTGTTTTTCCTCCTGTGCTCATGTAGCTCTTTAAATTATTACCTAAAGTGCAATTCTGTTTTTCATATTTTCATTTTTTTCATATATTGTTTGCATATATGCCAAGAAGCCTTAAATCCAGTGGTCCTGACAGCTCTTTGATAATAATTAGGCCTGAATAGTCATTCCATTGCTTATTTTGTTTCTATTCTTGTCCAACTTTGAGGAAACGTTTAACTGGAATTGCGTCATTCGTGTAGATTTACAGCAGAATCATATTTATTCACTCTACCTGAGCTGGAAACAACAGAACACTTTTCAGAATAGCATGTATTGTGATGGTTCTGATGCAATAGCAGTCATTTTATCTCAAAGGTAGTCGGAATATGAAATGGACAGGGTAGCATTTTGGTTGGCTTTAAAGTCAAAGCTTAAGTGTTTTTCGTATTTTTTAGGCTAATATTTGAGCTGCAATACAGCTGTGCACAGTGCCTTTGCCTTTGCACCCATTTCGCTCACCATACAGTGCCTTATGCGCATTATGAGCAAGGTTGCTTTAATTTTTTTGTTCTTTTTTTGCTCAATTTGCATGTTGCCGAAACATTGTATAATCGTTCTCTCTCTTTCGACGACAGGAAAACATCTCTTTGGCCGCGTCCTTTTTGTTTCCTGACACTCAGTATTCTTAGTTTTGATGCCATTGTGTCATATTGTAGGTTATTATTAGCTAATGTATGCACTTTACTTTGTACTCATCTTTTTTTTTGTTGTTTAGTTTTTTTTTTTCATCATGAAAGCAATAGAAAAAAGCAAGGATATTGTTTTTCTCACCAGCAACTCATATTTACCAAAGCTTCTTACATAACAATAGCAAAATATGCGCAATAAACACGTATGTCATTGGTTCAGATCACTTTACTGTGTGGCAATGGCAAGAAATATTTTTTTGTAAATACTTGTGTTGTATTATGGGATGTATAAAATGTCCTGGATGAGCACTTACAGGATTTCCAGGCCATCATTGTCAAAATAAAGTCGTAATTGTTCTTTTCCTTCCAGAATCAAATTAATTCATGCCGGTTCAAATCGATTAAAAAGTATCAGTGGACTTTTCCCATTGTCAGCTATGAACAGGAACATGATGCATTTAACCTGATCCTCTACTGTATGAATTACCTGTATAAAATGGGCCTGATAACTGAAATCAAACCTTTTTAAAAAATAATATGTGATATAAACTGGATTTTTTATCTAAATATTTGGAAAGAAACTTAGTAGCTACATAATTTGTTGATCTTTAAATACTATAAATACTGTAAATGCTAGAAAAAGAATGATTCTATTTCATGCTAAAACCTGTTGGAGGAGTAATGTTTCGATTTCTTGACCAACAAACAATCATTTAGAACCACAGAGTTAAAAATATGCTAAAGCATGAAAAAAGAATAATTTCCAAATAACCGGAACTGCCGTTCACTTTTGTAAACAAAACTAATGATGCTTGTAATACATATTGAAGGCTGACTGATTGACTGGAGGGGGTTCTAGACTCTAAAGTTGCATACAAGTTAACTACTTTACAAGTTAGATTCCCAAAATTAGCTAAAAACTATGGAGCGCCTGAAGTGTCATGGTGTATTTTTTACGTAAAAATCTGGTGCGCACCAGACACTATCAGGCACTTGCCACAGAGTATCTAATAGTATCTGGTGCAGGCCTGATAGTATCTGGTGCACACCACATAGCATGTAGTACACACCTAATCGTCTCTGCTGTGCACCTGATAATATCTGGTGCACACCACATAGTATCTGATGCTTAGCTAATAGTATCTGGTGCGTACCACGTTTTTACCTAAAAAAACATACACCACGCCCCATCAGGGGCTCCGTAAAAACACAAAATAATAATTTATTTTTGAAATTAAAAAAACTAATCACTATAATGTTCTCTGACCTGCCTGCATAAGTGACGCCTCACTCACTATGAGCTAAATCTATTCAGCTATTGCACAATTTTGCTTCAAGACAAGAAATATATTTCAGCAATTTTTCATAACATAAAAATAAATACATATATAAATACATATAAAAAAATATTTACAAATAAAAAAATATTTGCTTTTCTGGGGGAGAATTTCTGGTGCAGTAAAATGTATCATCCACAAGCTGCACTGTTCCAACAACAGGTTTAAAAATGCCACAGTGTGACCAGATACAAGCTTTTTGGGTTTATTCAAACTCTTCCCTTCATTACTGACCCCTTCATCATCATTTCTATGTGTCGTGTCATTGTAAAGTGAGGAAAATGGGTCCCATTTTGCCTTCTTTACTGGGCAAAAATGAATATTCAAAATAGAATTTTTGATGAAAAAAGCACACAATTCTTGATTGACTCATTTCTGGTGGAAATATCTATTTAAAGTTCAGCCAGAAATGTTCACACAACAGCACTCAATGTCTTCCATAATCTTTTCCGTTTCTTTTCCAGCAGGCAGGAAATGTCCTTCCTTTAAGGAAACTGAGAGAATTTTACAACATGGTGACTAAGAAAATGTCCATACCTTCCACCTATTGTACTTTCAGCAATGACTTAAGTCAGTGTTCATATAATAATAATAATAATAATAATAATAATACACACATATTTTGTAAACCGCTTATCCTTCTGGGTCGCGGGGGTGCTGGAGCCTACCCCAGCGGTCACTGGACGAAAAGCAGGATACACCCTGGACAGGTCACCAGCCCATCACAGGGCAGACACACAGACATATACATTCATATACACACTCACACCTAGGGGCAATTTAGCGTGTCCAGTTGGCCCGACTGCATGTCTTTGGACTGTGGGAGGAAACCGGAGAACCCAGAGGAAACCCACACAGACATGGGGAAAACATATGCAAACTCCACACAGAACCGAACCCAGGCCCTTCTTGCTGTGAGGTGACAGCAATAAATAAGTAATAGTAAATACATAAATAAGTGCTTTACTTTGCAAAAGTCAGAGACCACTTATATTCTTAAATATTCAAAACAGCAAGTACAAGTTACTAATTTATCAGGAGATATTTCTGAGGAAATTAGATGAAGGAAGGGTCAAATTTAAAGAGTCCAGACTTCAACGTCAGTGAATGAAAAAATAAAATTAAGTCTCCTAAAGAGAATGGAGGCTGTAATAAAAGCAAAATTATATATATATATATATATATATATATATATATATATATATATATATATATATATATATACACACATACACAGACCTTCTAAGCCACTTACCCTTCTGGGTAACTGGGGGAGCTGGAGCCTTTCCCAGCAGTCAGTCACTGGGTGGAAGGCAGGATACACCCTGGAGCATGTGAAATGGTTCTTCAGAGTGATGGAGAATGTGCTTTAGATGGTTTTATATAGAACCTTTTAGAAAGGGTGCTAGGTATGGCACCATATGCAACACATTCTCCTGCAATCGAAAGAACCTTTTCACCATGCAAAGGTTTCTTTCAGTGTTCATGGTTCTATATAGAGCCATTTTCCATCTTTTTTTTATGAGTGTACATGATGGGGTGGTCTCTGATGTATTCACAGTACTGTATCACCTCAGTGTCACTGCTGGACTGAAAATAGTCCACCAACCAAAAATATCCAGCCAACAGTGTCCTGTGGGCAGCGTCCTGTGACCACTGATGAAGGACTAGAGGATGACCAACGCAAACTGTGCAGCAGCAGATGAGCTATCGTCTCTGACTTAACATCTACAAGGTGGACTGACAAGGTAGGAGTGTCTAATAGAGTGGACAGTGAGTGGACACAGTGTTTAAAAACTCCAGGAGCACTGCTGTGTCTGATCCACTCGTACCAGCACAACACACACTAACACACCACCACCACGTCAGTGTTACTGCAGTGCTGAGAATGATCCACCACCCAAACAGTACCTGCTCTGTGAGGGTCCAAGGCGGTCCTGACCACTGAAGAACAGGGTAAAAGGGGGCTAACAAAGTATCAGAGAAACAGATGGACTACAGTCTGTAACTGTAGAACTACAAAGTGCACCTATATAGTAAGTAGAGCTGATAAAATGGACAGTGAGTGTAGAAACAAGGAGGTGGTCATAATGTTATGCCTGATCTGTGTAGGTAACATTTATGTTTTGCTCATTGGTCACACAGTAATGCCTCACCAGTGGTCACACGGCTTGTCATGATGCTGAACTGCACTGGAACACATCCGTTGTCAGTGTGACCACTATAGGAAAGACAGGCTTTCCTCAAGTTTCCAGACTATCATTACGCTTCATGCTTACTAATATTTGCTATAGGAATTAATATTCCAGCATTTTTCCACCTGGTCTCTATGGTCTGCATCTGAATCGAGCCACTGAAGATAAGTTCAACACGTTTCTCTTTTGTTTAGATGGTTATACTGTAGCCATACAGGTGTTATAGTGGTTCGGCAAGACAAAACCTTATCAAAGCTGTTCTTATGAGGCTTTATGCAGATTTCTAACACTGCAGCAACGCAGCTCTGCTTACTTTTGCTTTCCTTAGGGTTTTCTGGTATCTATGGTGATCAGGTGGAGCCTGAGAAAGCTCCACCCACACCATCATGCTCGTAGAAAGTCGTTAAATTGCTGCACTGTTCAACATGAATTGAACATGAATTGAATGCAGGTTCTATATAGCACCAAAAGGGGTTCTTCTATTGTGATGATGTCAAGGTTGTAAGAATAGAAGATCCAGTAACACTTTATTTGAAGAGTGTCTACATAACACATTCATAACATCTTACATAAACACTTCATAACATGTTCATGAATGATTACATGAACATTTATAAAGTAGACATATTTTACATTATATTAATATGGACTGCTAAGACACATTTTCCAAAATAAAAGTCCTAATTTTTTTATTTTGAAAAATTATATTATTTTCAGTCTCATTTCTGGACAGCTAAAATAAAAATTACCTTGTTTTACTCATTTGGTCATTAAGTGCTTTCACACTTTGGCACATGTTGCCTATATTTTTCAACTTCTTTTTAATTATTTGTTTTTTCTTAA